TGTCATCTCACTGGCCTGTCTGATAATCTGAGCTGTCTTGTGTGTAACAGTGGGGCTTGTACCTAGATGAAATACTGAAGGTCAAACTAGATTCACTGAGACTTCAAACTTCAGACAGCACTGGAGAAACTGTGGCTGGAGTCGCTCACACGAAGTACGACTCCCATAAAATTGAGTTGCTTATAAAGTGCCCATGTCGTTGGCCTAAGCCTGGAACGGTATTAAAAACTCACCATAATCACGATAACCACATTCTACTGTAAACTTTAAAAAACTCCCAGTATTAATAAAAAGGATTTTTCCCATTAAACCATCCTTTGGAAATACACTTGTAAAACACAAAAATTATATAATATAACATAATAAAAAGCAGAAAATAAAAAACTAATTAAGTTGACTCTGCATACTTATGTCGCTTGAGGTAGACAAGTGGAAAAGTAATCAAATATATAAATAAATAAAGTAAAATACCTGTCTGCTGATAAATACAAAGTACAGTATAGTACAAATATACTATGGAAGCACATGTAAATGTTCAGTGTGGTTTTGCTATATAAGTACAATGTGTGCTAAGACGTTACGTTTAATGGAATCTGCTCAAATTAAATTGACTTTACAGGCACACAGGCTATATTCTCGTTTAAGGATCAGCATCATTTCTGCATGATATATTCTTTATGATCTCAATTTCACAGAATATTCATTTCAGTGATGCGGCACATATTTTACTATATCAACATTATATATATATTTTAAGCTTCTTTTTCCAGGAACTAAGAAAAAGAGGGACTTAATCAGATCAGGGAGATGACCAAGGTACACAAATACTGAAAATGAGAAACGTTTTCATTAGTGCTGAGAAAATACACCTTTCTCTAAAACTTTTGATCATCAACTGCAACAACAAAGAAAACAATATGCAATTTTACAAGATGTCCCGCCACAATAAAAGCATTTTTACAAAAGTTGGAGCATATTTAAGCATAAGGACCACCGATATCCAG